TTTTTTTTTTTTTTTTTTTTTTTTTTTTTTTTTTTTTTTTTTTTTTTTTTCCACAATCGAGGGACATAATCAATGTAATTTGATTTTAGTTGAACCACGAGTTGAAAAATATTATCTTGCTCGTATTTCTTGTCATCTGTTATTTTTGATGACAATCTTGATGATGACTTGATCCAGTGATTTTGTATAAAATCTGATTTTGTCGGCACTGTTTTGTAATAATAATAATAATAAAGATATAAGTCTAATAAAAGGCAAAAAAAAAAAAAAAAAAAAAAAAAAATTGTTCATGCTCAACGCGAAACGAGTAATGGATAAAAAATACGAGGCTATTATAATGAATGCGAAATTACGATGAATTATTATGTAAAAAATTGTAAAAAGAAATTTACTGATTATGTAATGTCCACTAAGTATTTATGTAAAGTGATTTGAAGAATCTATACTATACATTTTTTAGAAATCATTCATACGGAGAAATCACTTGCTCAGATAGTATCCAGTGTAGGTCATTTTTTTTTCTACGAGAAAAAAAGCAGTGGAGCCATATTAGCTGAGCTGTTTCATCGTCAATTCAATTTACACATAGGAAAACAAAGATAGATATTTCGTACTCTTCTTCACATGTAAATGATTTAATCATAGATTTCGTATTATTCGCAGAAATTCTTATACAACAGCTTATTGTAATTTACCTAACCAGTATATAATAAAACTGTTTTCCATTCATTCTTATACATACATCGATAATCGATGATGTGCGACACCTGAAGCTTATTTTCATTTTCGATTCGACGATCTTTCATCACAAAACAATCTATTTATTTTCATGACACGTCTTATATTCGATTCATATCTAGTTTCAAACAAATGAAAGACATTTTTTATTATTTGAATAAATAATATAGAAACTTAAAATATATTGGAAAGTTGCAGATTTCATTGCAATTAATAAATAATAAAATTAATCTCGAAAGAAAAGAGACATGATCAGTATAATCAAATTTTCAGAGATGGAATAGTTCAAGTTTTCGAGTTTCGCTGCAGCTTCATCACTGTGCATTCATTTTGTGTAAATACGATAGAAATGATGTTATATGAAAATTGAGTATGATGAAACGTTTTTCTGTAAGGTATACGCTTTAATGTCTTTTTTGTGTTTGTAACGTATAGATCAGTGTCCCGTGATATATTATAGTTTATATGTTATATTTTGTTTTTGTGACCTGATCATGAAATATGTATGATGTATTAAAATTTGTACTGGCGTGACATGATATTTTTAGAAAAAAATGTTATTCATATTAATTATATAGAAATTTTAGAACACTGATCTAAACAAATTATGAAAATACTATTATGTTAAAGCTATTATTATTATTATTATTATTATTATTATTATTGTTTATATTTGACTATCAATAATAATAAATAATGTTTATGTACATAATTTTGAAAAAAATGATTTAAATAAAACATTAATAATGGTGCTTTCATAGACTTTTATGTAATTTTTATGTAATTCTTCTTTCATGCATGAGCATACCCTTTGTACTTGAGACTTGAAAAGAAACAATTCGCTTGTAAATTTCGGTATTAACATATATACATGTAATAAAATGATCAATAATGAATGTAAATACAAGCGATGTGATTTGAATGTTTGCATTGCTACATAAATTACGACTTTAAATCTATGCAATGAGACTTTCCGTTATAATAAAAATGACATTTTTATCACATTACAAAATATCGTAATGTCAATTAGTAATAATTTCATAAAATATTAATGTACAATTTCGTTATCTCTATATGCAACACTGCTTGTTACATTATTTATATCAGTGGTTATAGAAATGTGTGATATATATATATACAATATATTTAGTACATAGTATTTGTAAAAAAATTGAAAATCTCACTATTTAGAAGTTATATTTTTTTATGTTTCTACGCCTCTTCCTAAACCAGACCATCTGTCTGGTACTGGTAAGAAATATCGGTGCATAGCAGCTATGAAACGAGCTCGATATTCTTCAGGTGATATTATTGTTGGCAATTTTCCCTGGCCACCTAATATACCTGATTTCTTCACCATTGTTTCTAATTTTTTATCCCAAGTAAACGTCCTTATATAATCTATAATTATATAATATATATAAAAATATATCTTATATCTAAAAATATAATTTTCTAAACTTACCTATTATACCTAAAACGAGTTCATCCGAGTTTGGTTCTAAACCAACTAATAATGAATAATCCATTACAGAATTATCAGCCAGGAATTTAGTATCTTGTTCAATGGCTTTATTTAAAACTGCTTTGGAATGTGATCTAATATAGAGCGGTGAATCGCAACTCACTAAAAATATATATCTTATATTTAATTCAGAAATTTTTATATAAAAAATTATTAATAATTATATATAATATAACTTACTATTTAACAAATTTTCATCAAGTAATACAAGTTCTCCTTCGTGACACATATCATCGGGATTTACAAGCCGATTTCTTACCGATCCCTTTAAATCAAATTTATCCGTTATTGCTCTCTTGTAAAATAAATTTTCCATTACTAACACGCTAGTTCGAAGTGCTGCATTTGTTGTATTATTTTTGAAAGATACTCGATAAACACCGACTATCTTTCCCAACAATGTTGGTTGCTTAGTTTGTTGACATTTTTCCATATAAGAGAAATAATTCGGTGCAAATTCAAGAAATATTTGCATTTCTAATCTAGACATCTCTTTTATAATAAATCTGTCATCTGCAACAAAAAAATGTGTTGAGAAATGATATAAATAATACATTAGAAATTTCATTTTGTATACATAATTCATTACATATATATGTAAACATATATTCATACAATTTGGTACCTCGAGTTTTACAGAAAGTACTTCCACTTTTACCACCTCTTGCAGCCCATTGTACACTTCGACTTAAACTTCTTGTAAAACCATCTTCTCCACATGGTAAAACATTTTCTCTAAAAGCAGCAAATTGCGCAGCAAAATATATTCTGCAATAGAAATTTGTCGTTACATCATTAAATTGAACTTCAATATAATTCTGCTGCTTTGTTATTTTCTTGTCTTCATCTATTTCTGTACTTATTGATGGATTTTGTGTGCAAGAATCTATATTTGAAATGCTTTTATCAGAATCTAAGGGACTCGTAGGATTTGGACTATTTCCTCGGAAAAATGATAAAACGGACGGTCGCTTAAATTCTCCAGATTGTGTGACATCAGAAAAATTTTCTTTATTTTCAGGAAATTTACGTTTGTTTAAAGGACTGGGATTTAAATCCGGACCTTTTATGGTACGCGTTAATTCATGAAGTGCATGTTTATAATCGTGCGAATCTAATGCATATGCAATTATAGATGATGGCTCTGTTTCATATACTACTATAGGTACAACTGATCTGTAAAACAAAAAATATTTTAGTATATTAATTAATTACATATAAATATCTCTAATATATCACATACACAGAAAAGTTTTAATATAATTAACAAACCCAAGAGGAAGTAAATGATGTTCCAAAGTTCCTAAAGGATTTGGTATTGGTTGGGTAACAGGAACAGAAGGCAATAATTGTGACAAAATAGTTTTTTTCTTTTTCTTCTTATCTGGCATATCATCAAAAGTGATAGGTAAAACATCAGAATGTGATCTCTGATGCATTTTTGGAGAACCTTGGACAACAACAATATCTTCAGGATTACTTTCTAAAATTTCATTGTCTGAATTTTCTATGCCTTCTGTCCCTTGTAAATCATTTTGTACAGCAGCAATGGCATCTATAGCATTATAATCTGCTGACATAGGACTTAAATCTTCTAATTGTGATTCTGATGCAGTGTCTTCTGTTATATATCCATCTGTATCGATAATGCTATTACTTCCAGTCGTTAATGATCGTTCGGTAAATCGCCTTGGTCTTTCATCTTTCTTTTTAACAGACATTTCTAAAATTTTTGCATTCCAAGTGTATACAACTTCTGATATCAATCGTTTAAGAATTACTATTCCATCTTCAATTCTAAACATCAGAGCTTGAACTTGTTTTTCAGATACTTTTCCTTCAAGTTTTTTATTTTCTAAAGTGGGAGATGTCAATTTTAATTGTATTTCTTCTATCTTGTTTTTGAAATATTGTTGATCTTTTGTTAATTGCTGTTTAGTAGCGTTTAAAATATCCATATCTGTTTGTAAAGTTGTTAATTTTTCTCGTATACAGGAGAACACTTCATCTCCTTTTAATGCTAAACTTTTCATTTCTTCTATCACATCTGCATGTTGCTTTGGATCATACATGATATTTATTAAAGGAGGCGGTAGTGAAATTTCCCATTGCGATATTTTTGTATACTTAAATACAGCCAGCATATTTTTTTTTGTGAAATACTGATAATGATCATGATGAAGCGAGTGTTGACAAGTATCTGTACCACGTCTAGTATATGCATTTCCATGAAAACGTAATTCCAAGTATTTTGCAAAAGACAAAGACCAAGTATCATCAGACATTGGTACCACAGGTGAAACACTTTTACATTTCATACATTTACTCCACA